AGGAGAGGAGAGGAGAGGAGAGGAGAGGAGAGGAGAGGTAGGAAATTTTATATTCCATGCCAGATAAAAGTTACAAGATAAGTATAGAAATAATTCTAGGTTCAAGCGATATCATGACTAGGTGCAATTGTACAATGGCTCTACTATTTCTATAGATGGGAAACTTCTATGTCAAGGCATTGCTCTCTTTGAAACTAACAAACCATGAAAATGGTAGGACAATTCCAGCTGTCTATTGCTGTTTTCCTCTGGCTAATTTCACCTCTGCTTGCTTAACCAGAGCTGCTACTCCTGTGGGAAGAGTTATAGCATAGAGAGCTGCAAACAGACAAAACAGCCCAGTCTCTGGTGTATTTGATACTGGAATCGAAAGGGTTGAGAGACAGAAAGGCTGTTTACCTGGCAGGGCTCAGAGAAAACACAGGGGCTTTTGATTCTCATCTCAAATAAGAGCTGGCATTCCTCTTTGTTTTATGCATAAAACCCTGGAAACACGTTAAAGCTGTTTTTACTGCTTGGTCACAAGAATACCCACAAAGTTTCAGATTTAATCAGCTGTTGTGCTTGTTAATTAATGTGAAGTGACATGCTTTGTATGAAACTGGACATAACATTCTTCCATGCATGATCTTTGTTTGCCAGGACATGTATCACATAGTTCATTTACTTCAGTAGAAAGTAGGATTGGCAAGTTCCCTCTTCCAGCAAGAATTCCTATCAGCTAAGATAATCTTCAAAGGCTCTGCTTCAAGTATTCCCATCATTGGAGTGTAGGTGGATAGCAAGAAATGGATTTCTTTGGGTGGCACACAAATTATGGATTTTTTTCCTAAAACACTGAATATCCATTCTGTTCTCTCGTGCCTTTACAATTTTAAATGTTATTTATAGGATTTAAACTCCTATCCTCATTTTTTATGTTTAGCCATGATCTGTTTATCATTTCAGTGTTGATTCATTTTGTTGTCTAGCTGATACTGCAGGCTATATCTTTAAACTAGTATAAAGTTTTAAATTTAGGCTCTAAAGGGATAGATTAAATTATATAAATAAATTCATACATGCACACACAAATATAACTACACATACATTCATACACCTATGTATACATTATGATTCTTATGTCCAAAGGGTGTATTATTTCTTGAATCAAAACTGTATTTTAAAACCAGTTTTATAAAACTTAAAGCAGCAAATCAGTCATTCCTAGATGACAGGTTGCATGATGAAACAGTACATTTTAAGGTACAGATGTCTCTAGTAGATCGGAATAAATAACTAGAAGATGCCTGAATTTAGAAAACTGATCAAGCCTGGCCATCTGGAAATGCACAATTCGTGTAAGAACTGCATGTAAGAGCCAAGGCTTCATCTGTATCTCACCTTCCTAGATAAATGCAAGGACGCTAAATAAACTTTGCTGATTACCTTGTAAATGAATGTTGGCATCAGCATATTCTTCCATCTCAGAAACTGAGCCAGTGCTGGATTTGCTTTTATCTTCAATCTCTATTTTTTCCTTGAATTTCTTGTTGTGTATTTTGTTGCAGCACATTTGATTTTCCCTTTTAGGCATGCCATTTGAGAATCCTTAAAAAGATAGAAATGTGGAGGAATAAGTTTTTAACCTAAATCCAACAAAACCAGAGGGTATATAGCATCAGAGTATAAATTCCAAAAGTTTTGGCTTGCATTCAAAAGTGAATGGCAAGAGAAGCAGACATCATTTTTCCACCAAGCAAAAGACATTGATTCATGAAGCTTTTGGCACAACTAAGTAATTCCAACAATCAATGGGCCAGGCCAGAAGTGATCTGCAGCACCTTTAGATCTGATTTTAGCTTATCCCCTTGGCTAAAGAAAGAAAGGATGACCTCCTTTTCCCTGCAGGCTGTATTACCATTCCCTACTACCACATGAAAAAAAAAATTAGATTTTGGATTTTTATAAAAATATAATTATAAAAATAGATTTTAATTTTACACACAAAGGAGATGTTTGAAGAAAGGAACCAAAGAAAAAAAAGAAAAAATGGAACAGACGGTAGTGATAGAGAGAAAAGTGATAGCCTATTTAGCCCCAGATTTGATTTAGCACCTTTTCTGTTTTGGTCATGGCTTTGTCTGCTCCTGGTATTCAATCTATAGAAGTTTGCATTTAAAGGAATGCAACTGAATCCAGTCCATGCCCTTTAGCAGTGTTTCTCAACCTTGGCAACTTTAAGATGTGTGGATTTCGACTCCCAGAACTCATCTTAAAGTTGCCAAGGTTGAGAAACACTGTCCTACAGTAATGAAGCCATGAACCTGGCAAGCACATTCTTCCCTTTTTCACATCCCCTTCCTATGTTGTTTGCCATGTGAATATTTCAGATTACATGGCCTTGCAACAGGAGGCTGTCAAACCTGCTCTTTTACAAAGACTATACAGATAGGTGAAATTAAGTACTATAAAAATTACACAAATCTGAGTAATCAAATTTAGATTACTTGGCTACTAATAGTAATAACACATACAATAATAATCCAGTACATAACACAAATGAGAAAAAAAAATCCTTTGATTTTTACCATGTTTCATTCCTGCACCAGTCTTGTTTGTGCTGGAATGGAAATGCATTGTTCCATAACCAGAAAACCCATATGGTGGGTACCCATATCCTAAAACAAAACAAAACAAAACAAACAAAAGAAAAGAAAAGAAAAAGAAAAGAAAAGAAAAGAAAAGAAAAGAAAAAAAAAGAAATAGATTAGAAAGCAAATCATTAATTGTAGCTTTTTCAGATGAACAGTATCCACAAATGAACTACTGATTAAAAGTACAGTGTTAAATAATTCCAAATGACAGAATTATCTGGAGGATGTCTTAGCCTGGTGAATCTCTATGGAGGTCTGTACATTTTCTTGTGTTCCAAGGAAAACATCTGGATTATAAGTAATAAAAACAAATATAAAGGACATTTTTTTCATCTTTTAAAGGCAAAATACAGTATAGCATCTCTAGATGCTTATAACATGCTCATGTCAGGGCTGTGTAATTGTATCATAAATTACAGAAATATAACTTATTTAGACTAACTCATTAGCTACAGCAGACAATATAGAAATCTCAGTAGTACAAATGGATCCAGCCTTGTATTTACATCTATGTAAAGCCACATAATAAAGATAAATCACAGGATTTGGTATAACCAGCAGAAGACTATACTGACACCTGTGCTTAATATGGTGCTTTCCACGGATGTTTCATTATAAGTATAGAAACATTTAAATACAGGCTTTTAAAACTTTATTATATAATATATCTCTAGCTATAAATAGGTCTGGCATTAATTGTGTATAGATCTATAAAGTTCTTTTTTGCAACTGTAACAAATATTTTAGTGAACTGTTTTTCTTGGAGGCCTTTTGGTACTCTCTACTAACAATCCAAATTTTATTCAGGGATATCTGTTATTGTTGTGCCGTCCTATTACTGTTCACTCAGAAATGCACTATCTAGTATGGTCTTTATAACTGCAGTATAAGCCTAAGGCTACACATGCATTTACTCTTAATTAACAGTAATTAATTAATCAAGAGTAATTAATTAATAGTAATTAATTATTGACTTTTAATGAAAGTAAATCCAGTTGAATTCAGTATGGATGCAGCAATGTTTGCTATACAACAAATCAATAATCGCTATATCTACAGTAAGAAAATGTAAAATATAATATGCTCAGGTCAAAAATGACCTAATAACATAGTGGACATTTGCCAATAATTCTCTTAGCTAAAAACAGTATGATTTTTGTAAAACTTGAAAACAACAGGAAAAGCTAAATGTGTATAGAGCAACCAGATTCCATCTTGTTTTGTTTTATATTTTTACTGTTACCGTGTGCCGCCTAGAGTCAGTGTGGAGTCAGGAGATGCCTAAATTTAAATAAGTAAATAAGTCTGCACTGCTTTGCCAAACAACGCTCCAGATAATGCATACATTTTATGTAAATTGTGTAAAAGTGAACTATATTGCATACTTTTGAATTAAAGGACATTTGGTATTAACAGGCACCTCTTCCCCAACTTTGCATAAAATCTAGGTTTTACTGTATTAAGATAAATACATGTGAAAATATTTGATTTTTAGGGATGAAAAGTATTATTGTATCATTTTTCCTTCATAAAGACATTAAATGGAATAAAGCAATCTACTACTTAATCTACAATTCAGTTAATGTACAGAGCCATCAAACTCCACTGAGAATGGAATACATAAATGTAAACTGTATTGATGGCAGTAGTTTAGGATCAGCATTGTATGGGACCATGGACATAAAACATCACTTTTTAGGCTTCCTAAATCTCCTGCAATACAAAACCCATCCATCATAGTGACCACATTCTCTAATCCAGAATGAATGAAAACCCACTTCCCAAATGCATCTTCCATTGTTCATTTCAATTATCATTTTTCTTTACCTGATCCAGCACTACCACCACCTCCTCCTACTCCTCCATACATTCCACCTCCTCCAGCACCTGCGCCACTTCCACCATAACTATCAGAGAAGTTTGGCATAAGCTTCTGTCGTTTCCTTTGCACTTCTTCTTTATCTACATTTTCAACAAAAGAAGTATGAGAAATATGCGACTAAGACAGAAGGTACATCCATTCTTTTCAGAAGGCTGTCAAATAGGGAACAACAACTGCTGCTGCTTACTTACTTAAATTACAGAAACATGAGTAGAATTCTCATATTTTGTAAGAGTATGATTGTATAAATAATGAATTAAAAAAGATAGTCGTGAATCTAATTTTCTAACAAGTCCTTGTTGGATGGAGCTTCTGATTTCAAAGAGTCAGCCCTCCCTCTTTCATTACTGGGTATGTTGTTTGGGGCAATACAGGGAAAACTGAGGCACAACCTATAATAGAAGTTGCCATAGTAGATTGATATGAGGCAGACACTGTTGTTTAAGAGTGTGACTGTCTGTTAAACTATCTGACTAGGACGTGGCAGTAAATCACAGACCTCCTGACCAGACCAGCATTACTAGGCTCCTAGGCTAGGACTCTTTGCATAGGGCTTAGTGGCCTTAGATCTGAGCAGTTGGGTTTCAGCTGACTTCTCACACTACCAAAGACTTCAAGATTAATAAAACTCTTTTTTTCCTCCTGTACTTAAAAGTTTTCTTACTTTCCAGATATATTCCTTCCCATTTTCTCTTTTCTATATCCTTTAATGATGTGTTGCTGGGTATATACATGAAGAATTGCCAAATGTATTTCAGGAGCTATGTTGATCCCAGCCCAGAGCATGGAATGTTTACTATTATTTAATTATTATAAAATTTAATTATTAACACTCAATTAAAAACCTTATATTCTCTGGAGGGAAAAGAGACTTTTCTGTATCATGAAAGGATGAGAACAGTCAAAATAGGTTATGGAAGCTACATATCCTAGGGACACAGCACAAATGAGAAAGATGGAATGAGAGTTACTGAACATATAAATATTTTATGTATGCCCAAGCCACTCCCTAAGAGCCCTTTTACTTATCTTAAGATTTTCCAATTAATCACATGCAAATAAGAAGCCTAACTGTATCTGGGTTTACACCATGATATGAGCAATGCACAAAATAGGTCAAGAAATATCTTATACTAGCAGCTAAGGCAATTCTCAAACTAATTTATAGGCTAATCCTACTTCCCCACTGATGATACTAACGAACTCTTAGTGTCTTCAGCTAAAAGCATATAAACTCATAGAATCATAATCATGGAGCTGAAAGGAGTACCTTAATTCATCATGTCCAACATTCTGCTCAAGGCAGCAATCTAAATTAAAGCATCTACAACGGAGGACTGCCCAGCCACTGCTTAAACATAGCTAGTAATTGGAAGCCCACTACCTTCCTTAGTATTCACTGCATATTGCTCTTATTGTCAGGAAGATTCAATCAGAAACTGCCTACTTTTAATTCAGTAACATTTTTATGAGTCATGTATTCTGGTATGATAGAGAAGAGACGTTTTTTGTGTGGCACCTCATCAGAACCTAAAGCGTGCTATGCTATCATATCCCCCAAGAGAGTTGACTGAAAGTAATCTTTTCTGAAGGTTAAATATACATAGCTCCATCATCCTCATACTTGTTATCCTTATTACATTTCTTAAACTCATTATATTTTGCTTAGGCAGAACATGAAGTATGACCCAGTGAAAAATAACATTCTTTTTGCACTTACTGATGTTATTTATTCTAAGCTAACATGGTGAAGCAATGTTGAGCTGGCTGATTTAGCATCATAAAAAGGAGGGATAGGCTATAAGATTTCAGGCTCTCAAAAGAGCAAAACAACTAAATCTAATAATGTAGAAGCCTACGAAAAGAAAAATCTAGGAAAGTAATAGGCCAGTCAAGCTTGACTTGTGCCTACTTCTTGGATCTGCCCATGTAATTTTCTAGACATTAATATGGAAACAGTTTGCTATTGCCTTCTTCCAGGAGATAGATAGATGATAGATAGATCGATAGATGATAGATAGATATTTTCATGGAAAAATGCCCATGAGATTTTCAACAAAGGAGCTTTTTATAAAAAATAATTCTCCATGTTATGATGCAAATGGCTGGGCAGGAGTTTAAGTCGCCCACTGCATATGGTGTCTTCAGCAGGGCCCCATGCAATAAAAAATCAGAATGGAATACCATACTCCAGCTATAATATATCAGTAGTCAGTCCAAAGAAGGAGAAAAATGGAGAAAGGCAGAAAGACAAAGGAACAGATTACAGCAGAGTAGGACAAGAGCATATTTCGTCTGCAACACATTTCAAGGTCAATATTTGGGATTTCCAATTAAGAACGATATCAAAGAGCAGTGGATGTGAATGACTTTTGCCTGGATCTCTGAAAAGCTGCTCTTAATCAGAGTAGACAGTGGTAGACAAGTTGGATAAAAAGTCTGACATGGTATAAGGTAACTTCTTGGTAAACATGAACTTTATTAAAATATTTTTCTTCAAAGTTATACTTTCCTGAAAGATTCTTTATAAAGTTTTTAGAGATTAACACCCAGCCAATTTAGTAGTACTGAATTTATATGAAATACTAAAGAGTAGCAATTATATAAAATAAATATGTATTCCCAGACTTGGAAAATATTCAGCTAGTATACCTGGAACTGAATTTATATTTATAATTAGTAATTGAAAGGTATGTCCACCTAAGTAGACCACTGAATCTGGGCATTTCCCCCAAGATATACAGATAGATAGTCAACCAGCCCCAGGATAGTTCAGGAGGTGCCTAGGGAGTTTTTGAAAGTTTCTGCAAAGTTCAAGCATATACCACAAAGATTTCTGAATCCTAAAAAAAGAAGTGCACAGAGTTCATCAATTCAGTGGTAAACCTGGAAATTCCCTAATATACATCACTTCCTGTCAGTTATGATAACAACCTATCAAGAATAAACTAATTGTTCCCTCATTTGTCCATCTCGTCTACATGCTATTGCTTGTTATATATCAAACCTTTCATCCTTTAAATACGTTCCTCAGGTTTGATAGAATTCAGTCTCACAAGTTGCCTTGAGATCAGTCTTGCCTGTGAGTATTTGTAAGAATGGGAAACAAGCTCTATTTTGATACTGAAATAGTTGCTTTTGTTTATCTGTGTTCAAAGCTGAGAATGACTCTGCTTTTTTGCCAGAGCACATTTAGTGTATGGGCTGCATTATTACTGCTGTACGTGTATCTCCAGCTTGCTCATTCATTCTCATATTGCATATCGTAACACATTTGAAAGAACTGCTAATGTGCCATGTGACTACACTTGCCAGAATAATTAAAGGTTATTAATTATTTTAGCCAAGGTATGCTATACCTTTCTAACCCAGTACAGTGAACATATGTAAAATAGCCATGAGTGTTCCACAAGCACCCATTACGAATAAGAGGCATCTGGTGAAACTGAAGGAGCTCATTTATGCTTATCAGTTGGGCACGGTGTGCAGGAAAGGTAAAGATTTGCAACAGCACTGAAACTACAAGTGGAGACTGAATTGTTATTGGTGGGAAAGAGTATGGGGTGGGAAGCAAAGTAAAGGCTCCTGAGAAGAACTGAGACATATACAAGCGGCATCTCCTGTCTTGGACACCATGGAGCAAATACTCTATCCTTTAAAAAATGGAGAGATGAACAATATCTACTGTAGCATAACTAGAATAATCAGAATAGAGCGTGATGAGCCATGAAGTACTTCAGAGAATCTCCCAATTCTTTAGAAAATAAGTGAGCTATCTCTACATCTGATTAATTTTTTTAGAGGATCAAACGTATAGTACTTTTAAGAATGTAAGTCAAACAATGAATTAATAAATGAAACATAGCTGCAAATACTAAACATGTGCAACAATAGTAAAAACAAATCTACATAATTACAGACTATGGGAGTCAGGTACTTCTTCAAATATTAAATTTATTTCCTTCAGACCCAGGAATTCCTTTCAAAATGCAAATATTTTAAATTGTTTACATTTTATTTTGGACAGGTAGTTGCCTTTATTCCCTTAATGGTTTGAAATAATTATTATAAGATGATAACGGCTTATAAAATCAATATTTGCAGTAACAATGAATATAAATCAAAGAGAAATACTGAACAATATTGGAGTACATCTACAATCAAATTTGTATAATTAAGTTTGTATAATTACATTTGGAAATGTCCAGGATCAAAAATATTTGACAACATAAAAACACAAATTTGCCAAATTGGACCCCTTAAAAAGAATTTAAATGTCAAATAAATACTGTGACATTCTTTAAAAAATAATAAGAGAAAGAAGTCTTTTGAGAAACCAGTTTGATAGGTTTACAAATTGAATCAATACATTAATAAATGTCCTGACTTTTTTGGTTATTTCTTTCTTATAATATTTGGCTGTATCAATGCATTTCAGCCAGTCTTTATAGGCACACCAAAGTAAAGTTTATCAAAATAATAATTCTATCACCGGTTATCAATAATGCTCCCTTCCAAGTGAGTGTTCTATTTTTCCTCTTCCCCATTAATGTGACATATAGATATTTCACATCTGATGTGACAATATTGCTGAAGGAACTGCTTGCCACAACTACAAAACCAAAAGTCAGATAAGTAGATAAAAATGAATGCATCCATTTTTTAAAAAAGGGCTTATGACACTGAAAACATTAAGGAACCATGTGTCAAGGCAGTTTACTTAAATTAGGAAATAGTTAAGGATTTCTCTCAAGAAAAAAAAATCTAAAACTTGGGTGCATCCACTAAGAGTTTAAGACACACCATCGGGCTTGAGTTTCCCAAGTCTTTAAAAGGCCTGTTAAAACCAAGTCAGTCTGGTTGTATTTGCCTTTCTTCAGAGCTGTACTGATTTTCACAACACTACAATCTTTGGTATGCTTATATTTTTAACTCTGGAACTTGAAGAGACCATTGACTAATTAATGTGCACAGCCTCAGCTTCCAAGTGGCCAAGTATACTGAGTGTCCCATCCCTTGAAGATCACAGATCATGAATTAGCAAAAACTTTCCCTGCACCCAAATATAGTAAGATTCCTTGCTAGTGCTCCCCACCCCCCATACAAACTATCTCTTTGTCTACATGTATTTGGGTAGAGTTAGACAAACATTATTTCCAACAGATAGGTATGAGATGGAGAAGGAAAGCTAAGAGTAAAGAATATAAATAAATGCATTCAAAATTCTAAGAAGACTTTCTGAATGGTTGTGAATGAAGCATCCTGTTAATAAACTAGTTGTGGAGGGAGTGCTTACTAAAAGAAAGTTTTCACAAATATCAGGACATTAGAAGTTGATTTCAGCTGCTATGTATTTGCCCTTGGTTTACAAGGAAATTAAATGGTTAAACTGAGTTTAGGAGCTGCGAAGTGTAGTGAAAATTCTGATTAACAGGTAAATATCCCAAGGCTACAAAATAATGGCTGTGATATAATAACAGTGTTCAAAATGTTGCAAATTTTGATAGTAAAAAATGGCTTTTCTCGTTAGAGATGGAATAGCTTTTCCATTGTGGAAACTACCAGGAGGTGGAGCATTTTACTGGTGACTGGAAAAGAAATACGGGCAGCTTCTACAATAATTTGCATCACCATACCATGTCAGACACCAGTCATTCCAACACATCGCCATATTTAAGCAGGTTTGCATGACAGTGGTATTTTTACCTTAAGTCATTTAGGGCTCTTTTCTAGAAGGTAAAAAAAAAATCCCTATTGACTATTAATTCCATTTTTTACAATGGGTAGAATGTTAAATGTAGCAATTATTTTTTGGCAATGCTATTCTAGAATTCATACAAAGTCCAGAATATTAACTAATATGCAACTTATTACAAACTGTAGAAAAATTCCAATACTGATGGTTTTCTAAAAAGATGCATGTCTTCTATAATCTGTAATATAATACAGTGTTGATAATTACCTTTGATTTCAGGATAGTACAGAAAAGGCTTTGGTTCGCTCGTCTCCAGATCTGATTTTCGCCGTAACTGAACAAAAACAGATGCTGGTTTCGTGATATTGACATCTCGATACTTTGGTGTTTTGAATACTATTGCGAACTGTAGCC